TAAATTGGTATATTCTGCATTTAATTGTAATATTTTTGTATTACATTGTGAATTTTAGATACTGTAAGTTTTATGTGTGTGACCTTATTTTCTTGTAAAACAGTTATTTAAAAATTTGTATTCTTGTCTATGAATTTTAGACGTCGTGATGTTTTACATGTTCCTATAACATGATTATTTGAAAATTTGTATTTTCGCATTCAATAAATTTGCAATGCTTCTGTTTATTATTAAGAATTTTATATAGTTGAAAATTTAATATTTACTGTAGATTTCCATAAAGAGCTTTTTCTATTGTCAATAGACTGTTTATCATGCTAAATTTCAATAATGTCTCTCAGAACTACTACTTTTGTGAAATTATTGCCCAAAATGTTTAACTGGTTATTTATAGAAATGTCAGTAAAAGTGATTGCTATAAATTGATTCATGTTAATGATTTCTAGGATATTTTGAATATACGATATTGTTGATTTCTGATGTTTAAAGAGTTTTAGATATACTATAAGTATACAAGTGGACTCATCCGGTACGCCGGTGAGGTATAAGTGGACCTATTCGGTAGGTCGATAAGGATTAAGTGGACTCATCCGATACGCTGATGAGGTATAAGTAGACCGATCCGGTATGCCAATAGGGATTAAGTGGACTTATCCGATATGTCGGTGAGGTATGAGTTGACCTGCAGGGATTAAATAGACCCATCTAGAACGCTGGTGGGGTATATAAGTGACCTACTTGGGATGCCAGTAGGGTACTTTGTGAAATCTTTTGAAATTATGTATTTCTATTAAAAGACTTAGATATGTACTTCCTCATATTGTTTCAATATGCATTCAAAACTTCTGAACTATGTTAAATTGTATCTTTCTGAATTTTGAACTGCTCTCTGTGTATGTTCTTCTTCATATTGTTTCAGTATGCATTCTTTTAAAAAATAATACATTTTCCAATTGTGATGTTTAAGGATTATAATGATCACTTACTGAGTAGCCAAACTCATCAAAGTATTGTGAATTCTTTTCAGAGTAATTACAGCTTTATTGTTGGTATATACAACAAGAGTAGCTTGGAAGACGTCTATAATCATGGTTAAAATTCATCTTTGTAACTTTTGTTATATCAAAATTGTATACATATAGACCTTCATGTTAATATAAGTTGTGAGTGGACTTCGTACAAATTTGAAAAAAATTTAATAGAAAACCAAACAGTTTTGTAAAATATATAGAAATTTTGGTGTAACATATAGATGAAATTCGGAATTTATTCTATCTATACTTTAAAGAATAGACTGTCACACCTCAGGAATGTTAAGCGTTATGAAATTTGGGGTGTGACAGAGAAAGTTTCAAGTGATCATGCATGATGAGAGAGAAGGCATGTATAAAGAACACAATAATGGGCGTGAAGCATGCATGTACTACATGACACTCAAGTCATCATTCATGAGGAGAGAGAATGCACGGATGAGGAATACAATGATAGGGGTGGAAGCATGAATGTGTCACATGGCACTCAATGATCATGCATGAGGACAGAGAAGGCATGCATGAAGAAAGAGAGCTTGTGAAAGGAGAAAGAGTGCGTGCGTGTAATCATTGTGTAGGAGTATACATGATATAATCATGTGCATTGGGATGGGTAAGTTTTCATGGTGATTCATGCACGGTACATTGGGATACATGTAAAAAAAACAATTTGGGGGTGCAGATTATGACTTTTTGAAGGTAGCTCGGATTTGAGCGAATTTCGTATCGTTCGAAATGTTGCGATCCCTACAATAACACAACACCACTCAAAACACCAGACATAAGTTATACAGCAAATTGAAAAAGAAAACTAAGGTAAGCATTAATAGGAAACGATTCAAAATATAAACAGGATCAATGACCGAACAAGTCCCGGACCTAACAGTTTAATTCCAAGATATTGTTTTAATGTGCATTTAATTAACCTTTCTCCATCTATGTATTTTCTAAGTTTCTATTTCAACCCAAAATTTTTCTATTTAACGTTTGAACATCCCGACAAGATTATAGACGGGGTTAGTTACATTATTCCCAGGCTGAAGAGAAACCATCGAAACTAAGTAACGGCAGTACAAGAGGTAAGAGTTAATGTTTGGGTAAAAATTTCATTGAATTGATATACTTGTGAGGAATAAATAATGCATTAATACGAAATATATGTTTTTAGCTTTCCATATATAGAGATGTTGTAGGATCATTTTGAACTAGACTTGCAAGAAATTCCCGAACTAAGATGGATACATGTTAACCCATAACTAATATGTTGCTCTTTCATATCTTTAATAATATAGAACGTTCTTGTCTTTATAATGCTTTTTGTATTTTAATCCAGCTGAATGATAGGAGATATTTGGTAGTGATGCACCTTACCTAAGAAGGATAGCAACCAAAGTACTCTCCCAGATATATTCTACTACTGGGTGTGAGCGAAAATGAAGTATATTTTAGTTGTTGCACATCACTAGGAGGAATCAACTAGCTTTGGAGATGCTTTATAAGCTAGTTTATGTTCATTACAACTTGAACCTCCGAGAGCAACAAACAATAAGGAAGCTTGAAGATTACGGACCGATAGACTTAGATACAATATTTGCATAGACACAGCAGAACAATGAGTAGTAGGAATGGGGTTTTAAGAAAAATGAGAGAGAAGATGATTTTGATGTCACCTTATCCCAACTAAATTATTCATATATCGAATTCCAAAAACAATAGGATAAGGGCGAGCATTACAATATATGTGAGCATGAAAAACTGACAAGCTTTCAGGATTTTAGATTAGGAGCGCAACAAAATACAGACTTATACGTCCTTTGGATACCTGGAAATCCATTACAAAGAAACGTGTTACAAAGAAAACCAAACCATAAAAAAAAAAAGAGAACAAATCCGCACCACCTTGCCCTGTTCCCACGCCCTGTGTACTTGAGCTGGCACGATTCGAATCCATTTCTTCTCTCTCTAAAAAGTTTATACAGCTCTGAACCCTCACAATTTCCTCCCTTAATTCACCGTCTTCTGCTTGCTACTCAGAGATATCAAGCTAAGAATTCTCAATCCTCTCTATAAACATCATTGTATTTGTTGCTGGTAAGCGTTCTACAATTCTCTCCAGCCCCATCGATTACTCTCTCTCTCTAGAGATAATATGGTCTCGGAAGCTCTCATGAAGTGCTCTATTAATTCCAGATGTTCCTCGTTGGATTTGCGGTGGAATCAAGCCGAGAATTCATAATCATCTGCTAAATCTCCTTGCATTTGTTACTTGTAAGAAGCCTTTACTTTTAGCTGCATCCACGTTGAGCTCTCTCGCCCTTTCTCTCTTATTCTCTCTCACCCCTTCTCTAAATTGCTTGTTGTTTAGCAGTCTGCAGTATGCAATTACCTCAGCGACCGCTTTGAGTTCTTGATTCCCTCTCTCTCTGCAATTCTTTGCTTTATTGATTTTTTTATGCCCTGAATTATACCGTAAAAATCTGATAAAATTTTTATGTCGTTTAATCAACTGGTTACTTACTCGGCTGTGAGCAGCCATTGTGAGCAGCCATGGCTTGAGCGTTTGCATCCATTTTTAAATTATTGTAATTATTTTTCCTTTCTTTCTCTATTCTACTTCTGTGCACAAAAGGGAAAGGGGAAAAATTGCAAGTTTGGACAGGGAAAGAAAATATACCGGGGATGATATTTTGGGGAAAATGATCACGTTTGTGGTGATAGATAACGACGAGAAGTGTCATACTAGCTGGGGCACGGATGCGGTCCCCTAAGCATCCACTCTATCCACACTACTTAACAAAGCATGCTTGGTAATGATAGTTTATAGAAATGCTCGTAAAATGTTGTAATGTATTTCTTATATTTGTTCAATGTATATACCAAGTTGCATCTAAATATTATCCAAACAATGATAATCCATTTAAAAGTAAAGTAATGTATTATATAATAAAGTATTAGGATTTTGCATATAATCAAGTGGCCACTAATTTGAATGTTTTGTTTCTAGATCGAATCAATAAATTGTCATGTGAATTCAATGGATTACGCTAACGTGATCAAAATGAAGAGCATCGCCTTTCATTTTGATTTTAGGTCATATTTTACAAATTGTATATTTTATTGTAGTTCATGTATGATTATATACTTCATCCAAGATAATTTCTATGCTGCGTCTTTTGTATGATGTAAATTTAAAACTGAATCCAACCGAATCCGATCGATTCCGATCTAAACTGTTGATTTACCAATCCAAATCGATTTTTGGGGTGCCAATGTGGTTACCGTCTTAAAATTTCAAAAATATAATTGATTACATCAAAGCTCTCAACTTGCACGATCATACACGATTTTATTTTTGATTTCTGGTTGTCATTGCTTTGAATAATAGAATGTTCATTTCCAAAATAACATTATCAATGCAGTAGATCTCACCAAAATTTGCATGACCACGAAACACAAACAAGGCATATGTAAGGCGAAACAAGATTTTTGTTTTATTTTACAATATACACACTAAAACACAAATCATAATTAGGCTTTTATACTATGAGACCATTTATTTTATTGATAGAAGAATGTCACGATTATTATCAACCATTGAATGTGAAATCAAATGGATGTGAAATCACTAATTGAGTACAAAGCTTGAAATAAATTTTCTCAAAAGTCGTGATATATTATAATATGTTAGATTTCACATCCAATGGCTACAAAAAGTTATCAGAATAAATAGTTTCATAGTATACAATCCTTTTCTTTTTAGTACCCATACTCATTTCTAGCCATTGAAGTGTTACAACATTCGAGAAATTTTATTTTGGACTTTGTGCTCCAACTAAAGATACAACACCAACCACCCGATTTTGCATCCAACCGTCAATAATAACAGTGACCTCCTTCTACCAAAAATAAATGATCCCATTGTATACATTTCTATCATAATTACAAAAATTATTTATTATTTTATTCTACAGTATGCACACTCTAACCCACAAATCATAATTACATAATGGAAAGACCATAATTTTTACGGGGAGGGATCACTAGCATTACTAAGTAACAAATACAGGGTCTAGAATAACAATTCACACCAGACACCAATTTCCATGTATAAGCAAACATAACTGTCATTACCTTTCCAAATTTCCCAATCACCTTGGTTTGATGTCAAAAAGCAGAAAACAATAAGAATATAAACCCCACAAAACTCAATAACAAACAAGATCTACTAGTGGGGCTTCTATAAAAACAAGCATGATGTATGTTCTTGGGGAGATAGGTGAAAGGCCAACATTTCTTAAATATGATTCCATTTTACATGTCCAGCCAACATGCATTCATTCCCCTACACTTGATCTCATGCCTGAGCCTGCAAGGACACAAATGAAACCAAAGGGAAGGGAAAGCAAATTGGTAACCAATGTCATCAAACAATTGAGCAGAACATGATTTCTTAGAACAAAAAAGCAACATGCAGCAAATTTCTACTGCAAAAAAAAATACGCTTAATTCCTTTAAGAATATATATATATTTTTGCCATGAGGTCATGATACATTCAAACAATCCAAACATTTGGACTAATGTAGCCTCTCAAAAATAGGAATACTTGAATATTTAATAAACATGATAAAATTTCAGATTCCAATGGAAGATAATCATATTTTGGATCTAAATTTCCATTTGTCAGATCTCATACATTCTGTATATTTGATTTGTGGGATCTGAAAGTTTGAATATTGAAGTTCATGTAGTGAATCAATCCAAATGATAACATGGTATTATAACAAAACAACAAAGACAAACACTACAACTCCAAGAACATATCATAACATGTTCATTGAACTTCAGCCAAATCTCTAAGATCATGAGACCAGGGATTTGCAAGACCCAGAACACATTAGATTAATAACTCATGAGATCTGCAGAATGCACCCTCTCAAATAATATCACGACACATCAAAACAAGCATAAAAAAGAAACCCCAAACAAACTATAAAGAAAAATGCTCACAGCCTAACATAGGAATGGAGGAGGTGGGGGCCCACTGACTTATTGTCCTTCCTACGAGATAAAAAAGAAATTGGGGACTGACCCTACTTTTGAGATGATCCACAGAAAGATTCTTGTCAGATGATGTTCATACAAATGTAAGGCGTAAGCATTGCATAAGCCAAAGCAAGTAACATGGAGACGACTCATCCCTCAACCCCTGAATTTGTTCTAGAAAGGACAGAACAATCCACATGATACCACTTTCCTAACTATAAAACCCACACAACATCACTTCAATAACCGATTTGTCATGGCTCCTAATGTACACTTCTGTCCAAATAAAAAACCCTCCCATCCTTGAGTTTCCTTCTAAACTGTCAGTAGTAGTGCCAGTTCAAGACCATCCCCATTCCTCTCCAAGGTAACCCTCACCAAACACTACAAGATCAGAAGTCCAATTTCCCAAAACAGGAAAATGGGGATCCCGGATTCTCCACTTACACAACCTATCCAACCAGGATTTAACTCATCCACCTCCAATGCTAAATTATTTCATCTTTCGAATTAGTGAAGCCTTTGTAGGGGTTTGTGGCCTTCAAAGGCCTTGAGAGCATGTAAAAACATATTATTATAGTAATAGTTTACTCCAGTGGGGGAGTGGTCCGCATGGGACCAGAGAGTCATGTTTTCTAATTCCCGTTGACTCACCCGGGGTTGGGCACTCCAGGCCGGAGAGCCATGTCGAAACCCTAGACATAATGCACACCCCCACAGTGGAGTTTAGAGAGATGCCTAGGGGTGAATTAACTAGGAGGTGGCCGGACTCCTGTGTGTAGTTGGTGGCCTGTGAGAGTAAGGGCCAAATCTTTAATATTACCACGGCATGGAATGTACGAACGATAGCCACATCTATGGGTGATACTTGTACATGTGCTGAACAGAGCCCCCCTACACCATTGCGAGAGTGTGCCCATATCTATGTAAGACACCTTAGGGGAATCTGTAATCTACACACTAGACCCCGTTTCCTCTATTTATTGGCCAACTTGATGGACCAAGCATGAGCCCCAACAAATTAATATATTCTTGATCTTATGGATCCAAAAAATGAAATTTAGATAAATAAATTTAAATTTATTAATCAAAAAATTTAAATCTAATTTTAACAAAAAATAAATGTATTTTCAGCATCAAAAAAATATAGATAAACAAGATATTTTGGATAAGTATCTTGTATTTCTGGATGAATGGATCAAGGAAACAAGATCTTTTGGATAAGTATCTCAATGGGTGGGGCATGACACCCTAGAGGGGGACAAAGAGAGAGGAGAAAGGTTAGGGTCGATACTTAATAGGTTTTTTATAGGCCTCCGAAGTGAAAGCATGTAGTGTGTGAGAGAGAAGCTTTGATTCAAGCCTTACATCATACATTATCCAAAAGTGAGAGAGAGAGAGAGTGCCAATAGGCAATGGAGTCAATATACGTGCCAATATAATAGGGTATCAACCAATAAGTAGGAGAGGAAATTTTGGTCTGGTAAGGACTCGAAAACATCTAGAACTCGTTAGGAACTCAAAATAGCTTCTATTCTGTGATGAAAAATATCAGATAATTCTAACAAGAAAATCTCGTGAAAACCATGAAGAAACTATGCCACAATTAAGGTAATCAAACTAGGTAGCAAGGTCATGAATCAAGGTATGAAATAAGTATAAAACCATCAAAGGGATGGGACATAAAAGAGCATACTCCTTACTGTTTGGAGCAACTTCAGCCAAGAAAATGGATTAGTGGTGTGGAGATTGCTTATTCTTGATGGCTATGGATCTCCAAAGGTGGTGTGCTCCATGGGACTCCATAGGGTAACCTTATTATGCTCATTATGGGGCCGTTCCTCCCATTCTTTCTCTGTCTAATTCTAGCTTGAACTCTCCTCTATGCCCAACTTGTGGGTTAAATGAATGCTTAGAGAGAGGAGAAAGGTTAGGGTCGATACTTGATAGGTATCTGTAGGCCTCCTAAGTGAAAGCATGTAGAGTGTGAGAGAGAAGCTTTGATCCAAGCCTCACATCATACATTTAGCTATCACAATGGGTGGATGTGATTTTTTTTACTACTATCCCCACTAAATTCTATTTCCAAATTTCCCTCCTTTTAGTTTTGAAAATTCAAATGCAAAGAAATCAAGATGAGTAGAATAGGCTACAGTGTTTTAATTAACAACTAGTTCATACCATAGTTGTTGGAAACGCTTGGGAACCTGAATCGTTTTAGAAACCAGAATTCTTGTCTTAAGAATCGTTGTCCGTACAATAGAAATCGCTAGGAACGATATTATTAGTTTTTGAGAATCGTGTTTCGACCGAAATAGATTCAAGTTTCATCGACTTATGGAATCGAGATTTCGTCCTCCATGGAATCGGGATTCCCATCACCCTGAAATCGACACTCCAGAAGTCCGGATTTTTAATATGCAGAATCGAGTTTTCGACATCTATGTCGAGTTTATGACATATGTGGAACATAGATATGTTGTTGTTTTGAATCATGGTTCTAACATATTTGGAATCAAGTTTTTAAAGTATATAAATCAGAGATCCATGCCAATTTGAGATCGAGATCTACAATAATATGGACTATGGAATGCGTTTGACGACCCCTACCAGGAATCAAGATTTTATTTTTATGGAGAAGGAAGCCACAAGCACATTTTGAGCCTCATCAACGTTAAAACCTATATTGGATGTCTCTTAGTAGAAGGTTTCCCGAATTTGAAAGTGATTGTGTTGACTAGTAAACTTATGGTCATTATATACAAAAGACAAGTATTCCTAAATTGTGATTTTGACTTCATTATTATAAAGACAAAATAGGATTATGTCTACGCCATGCTTTTAATTGTATGTGTTGTATTAATCAATTATATTTTAAATTTAAAGTAAAGGCCATCTAGGGTGGCACAAGTAAAATAATGAAACCCTGCAACCACTAGAAGCATTCGAAAGAAGATTTTTACTCCAATTGATATGGAAACAAGATTTAATCCTCGCTAAAATCCAAATTCGATATATTTGGGAACGTCTACCTGCAATTAATGGGTTCAAGTTTTTAAAGATGTGTTGGATAGAGATTCTGAAATTAAACAATCGAGTTTCCTTGGTTCTGACAAATGGTTTCTAAAGGTGTGTTGAATAGAGATTCCGAAATTAAGGAATCGAGTTTCCTTCGTTCCGAAAACAGGTTTCTAAAGATATGTCGAATCGTGATTCCAAAATTAAGGAATCGAGTTTCCTTGGTTCCGAAAAACGGTTTTCGTGGACATTCCTTAACGAAAACATGGAATCGGGTTTCGAAACCGGAAACGCGAGGTCGATGGAGAGATTCTGGTAACTATGGTTCATACATAGATCAAATAATAGAGTGACGCATGGCACATGCAAAATTCCAATTGGCCTTAGGGTTCCAATTAACATATCAAACCGTATGCCATTCCTCACATATGCCTCTATGTACCACTCATGTGAAATTAAAATATCATGTGCCAAAATAAGTCCCTTACACATGATACGACATTGCACATAAAAAATATCTTAAACCAAACACCAATTAAACTACACACATGTCATCACACTGTGGCTGCCATGTGGAACCACGGGGGTGGTGCCCATCGGCCATTTGGGCCCCCATATGTGTAGAGTGTGATGTCCTCTTTTGGAATTTCCCAAGAACAAGTTTAAACCTACTTTTTGGCTCCAAACAACTCTCTAAAATTCTCAAAAATCACTAAAATTCATTCTCAAGTTTATTTCATTATTCTAAACTGATTTTGAGTCTCAAAAAATTTCTTGGAGGAAAATTGGAACCCTTAAGGAAACAAATTAGATAGCCGAGCACTCCACCAAGCTAGTCTCGTGACCCTTAAATCATTTTATCTATTAATCCGCCGAGCTAGTCCCGTAACCTTTAAATCATTTTATCTATTAACCCAACATGACCCACGAACCATTGTCTTTAACAAGGGCTCGAGCTTGGCATATAAAAGTCAACCCAATAAATGGCTGCATTCTAGAATCATAGTACATTGCAAGTAGATCCTCAAGGATATGCACTCGTGTACAAGGGGGTTCTCTCTCCAACACATGTAGCTAATCGGGTGGCTTTAGAAGCGTGCGTACAAGCTCGTAATGAGGGACATGATCTTGCTCGTGAAGGTAATGAAGTTATCCGTGAAGCTAGCAAGTGGAGCCCAGAACTAGCTGCTGCTTGTGAGGTATGGAAGGAGATCAAATTCGAATTCGAAGCGATGGATGTCTTGTAATCCAGTGATTCCTGTCCATTCCCCCAATAGCAATTAAATTCGGATCAATCCTGAAAAGAGCAGCTTCCCATTTTCAATTGTGTATGCACATGCTATGAGATGGTTCGAGGTCAAGGATTTGGCTCATGTCCTCCTAAAGGGTAGCCATCTCACATGAGGTTCTTCGAAATTCTCCCAGTAATACCCTAGCTACAATAATCCTCTGATCCATACAAAAATTCCAAAAATGATGCCCTGGCTTTCATGATTATGAGGGACTCTTGTACTAACCCTGACTAGGGAGAACCCTTTAATGCCCCTCACACTCAATCCTCACGATCCAGGGTTTTGTAACTCTATGGAAACCATCTCCAGATCGCCTGTTCAGCAAGTCAGTGCTCTTAGTTACTCATAAGAACCGTGAGAACTGTTGTGTCAAGGACCGGAAAGGTCCAACTATAACATGAGTGTCATTAGGGAGCTCCTATATTAGATGAGTATAGGATCTCAATAGAATAATTACAAGGCTCATGAATAAAGGGCCTAAACCCCAAGGGGTTATGAAGGTTGTTGTTGACAACTATGATTGGGAACACATGAGAAACCAAGCTATTAGCTAATAAGAAGATATCAAGACACCACACATAACTCCCTAATGGGGAATCACAACATAAGATGCTCTCCCAAGCTTATGGGAATTGTGCATCTTATGGGAATTGTGAAGAGATCAAGTGTGGATGTATCTCCCAGTTAAATCTACATTTGGAATCGAATTGCCCAAAACTATATCTATGAAACCATGTTTTTATCTTCATTTGACCAAAGGAAATACAAGCATTTCTACCATACATGAGAAAGGAATCCCCATAGATTACCAAACTTGGTACGCCTTCCAAATTACAATTAGGATAGCCCCACAAAGATATTTGCCAAGTTTTTTTACTACAGTGATTCAGGCATTGATGTTCCAGTTCCTACTCCTGTCATGAATCAGCTTAAGCAACAATACAAGGAGACCATGTTGTCCTAATAGCCAACATGTAGAATGTTAATAGGCAAATTCCATTGGATCGACAAGGGTTTCCCATAGAACTCTGATTAGTGGACAATCCACATCATATATTTGGGATTTATTCCTAGATATGTGGTTTTAAAAACAAGAACCCTTCTGAATCTAACTCTTTCATGGTAATCAAGAGGCGAGCATAATCAAGTCTTATCAATAGAGCTTTTACGTTACAAAAATAAAAGTTCGCTAAAGGCTAATGAACCTCTGTTTTCTTGGTGGAATGGGCACTAAACTAACATAAAAGTACATTGAAAGGTAAAAACGACAAGAGTGGTGGAACCTACAAGTGCAATGTACGGCAAATTTAGCCCATAAGACTACCAAATGCAACCATCCATCAACCCCTCAACTGATGTAACTAACTCAAAAGTAGTAATAGACTTAGTAAGTCAATATATAAATCCTGTGGCTACATATAAAAAAAGGAACACAAGTACCATCCAAGAAAGGAAAACATGAAAAGAAACACAAACTTCCGTGGACCCACCAGAATGGTGGTATCCATGATGCAATTAGTTTAACGAATCAGTATAGCAATATATGAGACACAGAAAATACAGAATAGTTCGGATCCGTTATACAAAGCAGGCCAACAGAACCAATGATCAATGTGAGCTCAGGAGCCATGCAATCCAAATTTATTCCTCACTCATGAAGAGATACATGAATCTACTGCACATTTCAACATCTTAAGTGACAGCATTGTCCTTAAACTCTAGTGTAATTCCTTATCACTTGAAATGTAAGTTTGGTATAGGTTATGATTTCTTCGCCTGCTTCAGTCGATGTTCATTTCATTAGTCAAGATTTTTAGAACATCAAAGTACACATGCTAATCAACAAACAGCGCACAGTTTAATGAATAATGCACAAAGCCTACAGTTTCAAGAGAAATCTATGCACATACCTGAGAACGCATGTAGTTCATGCCTTGATTGAAAGATCCTTGATGAGAAACTTGCTGAACACAAGATAAAGAAATAAAGAATGAATGAAGGATCGTATGTAAAACTTTTAATATACAGCTTGGAAAGCAGGGATAGGATGGTCAACGAAAAAAATTCCCACCTGTGTGCTTGAACCTGCCTGAACTCCAGCAGATTCCTTCTTAGCCGATTGATCTCCACCTTTTGTTCCTTTACTGTCGCCCTGCCCAATATTCAGTCAAAAAGCATGCTCAATTAGTGCCCGAGTCAAAAAAGCAAGTCAAGATAACCAGGATAACATTATATGCACCAACAAACCAACTAGCATAACTTAAGTTGATATCGACAGCTTCACTGATGAAAAGACTCACACCACCCATGATTCAGTATACAGCTCATTCAACTTGCCACACATATTGTAATATAGAAGTACAATAATCATAGTTACCAAAGATGTATAAATGTATTCATTTTCCAATGCATACTTTAGTAGTCAATGAAAAACAAGTGCATTTGCTCCTTTAACTTGGACAAGCATGATGAACTACAGCAATACCGATCATGACCATTTACCAAAGATACAAAATACACTTGGTTTCCATTCCATGCTCTGAATATTCAATAAAACTCAAAACTTGTAAGAAGTTCCCTTGCTGAAAACGAAAAAGGTCGCGCACTATGGCTTCCAAACAATATAAGCATATCGCAGCAGAAGATTCACAAAGATAATATATATTTTTCAGGTATATGGAAGGTAAAATTCCTCCACATCTGGTTTGTAAACTATAATACCCAACATGCATGTAGGCACTTGAGCAAAGAAAGTATAATACCATCAATGAATGGGGAAATCAAAAGTACCACACACCCACATTCAGAACCCACAATTACGGAAAAGAGAAAGGGATTAGAATGCTACCTCCATCTTAATTCGTGAATATCCCCGAGGAAATGAGCCATAAAATGAAAAAGAAAAAGAGTTAGTTGGTTCGCATAAAACCTTATCGACTAGTGAAGAAAGATAAGCCAAAGCTAAAATCAACAAAAACAAAAAGATTACTGCATTTAAGTAGAACCGCAAGAAATTAGAAAACACTAAGGAGCAACTTATACAGCAATTTATGAAAGAAAGGCCAAACAGATCCACCTAGAATTACCTCCCTATACATCTGCAGATAAACCTTAAGGGGATCAATATAGTCTTCAAAGCCCAACGTACTCATTGCCCAAAGCAGATCATCACCATTAATTGTCTTTCTCTTCTCCCTCTGGCATTTATCACTTGCCCTGAACAAAAGAAAGAAAAATGACCTGAGAAAAAGGTATAACCAATAAGGGAGAAATTATAAAGACGAAAAATAGGTAATCCGCAGAGTTACCACAGAAGGACACCAGAATTCATCGTTAGGCTCCAAAACAATGACTGTTTGCGTGTTGTAAGCACATGTGCCATGATGTGATTTACATTCCTATATGATTTTGACTAGAGGTCCATTTATACTTGTTACTTACTATGGTACCAACAAAGGAGACAGAGAGAATTCTGCAAACTATTGAGGGGTCAAACTTATGAGCCACACTATGAAGATGTGGGAGAGATTAATTGAGCAACGATGAAGACATAAAACAGTATCAGAAACCAATTCAATTTTATGCCAGTGAGGACAACAACCAAGGTTATTTTCCTACTTAGGCGATTGATTGAGAAGTTTAGGGTAACGAGAAAAGACCACACGGTCTTTACTGATCTAAAGAAAGCTTATGATAGAGTACCTCGAGATTTATTTGGTGGGCATCAGAAAAGAAAGTAGTTTTCAGACACTACATCAATTTGGTGAAAGATATGTAAAAAGGAGCACAAATTAGTGTAGAAAGAACTAGTCGAGAGACGAGTGAATTTTCCGTAACAACAAGTTTACATCAGGGGTCAGCATTGGGCCCATACCTCTTTGTCTTAGTTATGGACAACTTAACTAGGCACCTACAAGATGAGGTACCATGGTGCATGTTGTTCGCAAATGACATTTTGATCGATAGGACCCGAAATGGCATCCACACAAAGTTAGAACTTTGGAGGGATGCTCTAGAATCTAAAGGTTTTAGAATTAGCAAGACTAAGACAGAGAATATGGAATGCAAGTTTAGTAATAATAGGAGTAGAGACGAGGAAGTAGTTAAGATTGACGGTCAAGAAATACCAAAAAGAGCACACTTTCGATATCTTGGGTCGATAATCCAAAAAACGGAGAGATTGAGGAAGATGTCGAACATAGATTTGGAGTTGGTTGGGGGAAGTGGAGATGTGCATGATCTGTTAGGAGGTACGAGCTAGTTTAAATCGAAAGCTAAAAAAAGACAAGGAGTAAGCCCAAAAAGACATGGTTTGAAGTAGTGAGAAAAACTATGGCAATTTATGGCCTCACTGATGTCATGGTCCTGAGAAAAACTATGGCAATTTATGGCCTCACTGTGTCATGGTCCTTAATAAAGCAGAACATCAGATCATAATTCGTGTAGCCGACCCCAATTAGTTGGGAAAAGGCTTTGACGATGATGATATGGGTACTCCCATTCCTCAATATATATCATACAAAATTTAAAGAGCATATATACTATGCTCCAGCTAGAGGATATTGTATACTTACTCCATTTGGGTAAGAGACTTGGGAAGAATATTTTGATCCGAAGTTTTGAACCACCTAAATATCACTAGATAATTATGTTCAAAAGAAAAAAATCTTGAATTTTGAGTTTACTAACACTTGGATCTCACCCTGCCATAATTGTTACAATTTCTATTCAATCTTGACACATTTTTTTTTCGAGCCCATAGAAAATGCGACTTCAAACTTTTTATTATTATTATTGATTTTAGCATATTGGTTGAAAAGGTTACATCCCAAATTTGGGGTCCTGAAAATACTTCTTGATTGGGTTTTATAGAGGGAACAAATGGACAATATGCTCCCTCAAATCTCATACTAGCATGATGAGATAATTCCAAGGATAATTTTCAGCAAAGTTCTTTGTGATTAAATTCCTATCATGATTTTGACTGGAGATTCATATATACTTGACACATCCAGAATGTATCTTGCACAAAATTCATACCTCGAATGTCAGATAAGAATTATTAGCCCGACCTAATTTTCACCAATGTTATGCATTTTAGGCCCTTGTAATTCTTTCCAATATCCCATGAGAGTGGAACCTCATCCTTAAAATAAGACAAACATTCCCATAAATTTCCATAAATCATAAAATCGACTACCATAACCTGTCTTATGCAATCTAAAATCAAACATATAGAGTTGGTCCTTTTTTACTCTCTCTCTCTCTCTTGCTCTCTCTCTCTCTCTCACACATGCATCATACATATCACTGTTTGAATACTGTTTTAGATACATAATAGAAACATGCAAACAATAAAAGAAAAACAAATAAAGATATAACTATCCATGGACATATACACATGCAAAAACATCATATACAAATGTAAAAACATACCCAAAATATACCGCATGAATATTGTATAAAGAAAATATGCATATAAATGTGCGGTCATGGAAGTGCATGCAAAAAGGGCATGTCATGTTATGATTTGCACAAACGCAAACATAATGTTCATGTATATACATATGTTTGAGGCCTTAATACACAGGCAACAGACACATGCTTAATGTGTTTATATATCTATACTAATGAGATGGAACACATAATGACATGCATACACATGCATTTATACTTGCCCATCTACATTTTATTTTTTAAACGGTATGCATTTCTGAGTACATATGGAAAGTGATATCTCCAAGCATACATTAATATCTACACTCCATACAGAGGAGAGGTTTTAAACTTTACTATACCATCACCCAAAGGGGGATAATTGCTCCATCACCCAAAGAGGGATAATTGCTCCAAAGATACCCTTTTGCATTTCTCAAATATTTCAAGGTTTGAGGAAGTAAATAACTAAATATTATGCAGTTTAAGGACAAAGTTTCTTGGACTTCTGAAATGAAGATATAAAAGGAAATCAGGAGTAGAGAAAACAGTGCCATCCAAACAAGAGCCAGGAAAATATAAATTACAAACCAAAGCATCCATTGTAGTTTCCACATATTTATGATCTTCTTAAGTGGTTCATGGATGTCAATTTTCTGGTATTCTAGTGTTCTCATAGAAACCATTGGAATTAAAAAATGGAAGCTATTGAGAGAAAAACTAAGAGCAGAAAAATAACTTACCTAAAAAAGGGTCGAGACCTGAAAAATTATTTTCTTTCCAAAAATTGCCATTTTTTTTTATTTCTAGCGTATTTAGAGTCATTATGAGGTTTAATGGTGTCAAATAAGGGTAATTCACTAGCAATTGTACAGCCAAATAAAGCAAGTAGCAAACAGACTTACCAAAAATAGATCAGTCCTTGGAGATAAGGACATGGGACTTTTAATGTTTACCAAGATTGATCCTGTTTAATACTTACCTACATTTGTGATTAATTTTTAACCCACCTGCTGGCCAATTAGATTTACTTTTCTTTCCTTTAATAAGCTCAAGCTTTCCCTATATCGTGCCAATATGCCTTCGACACTATCGATCTTTTTAAAAGGATATGGTGCATACCCCTTCTTTAATAAGAAAAGGAAAAAAAGTGTTTTTAGGCTAATTTATATCTAGGGGATTTTAGGGTCTGGAATGGAAGGTCAAACCAGACAGGTATTAGGGATTCCCCAAGTTCATTTTTCTTATTTGGCTGTTGGGTGCCCATCAATGATGCCTGTGATGCCCAGATTCTGATTAGAAATAAGAATGGAGTTTCCTTTTTAAGGATTTTCTCATCCAAAGTGTTCCTCATTCAACTAAACATTCATGTTTAGAAAGGCAATCGCTCGATTTAAAAGATTTGGTTCTTTCCTAATGTCCCTCGGTTTTTTACAAGGTGAGTGTTATCACTAATCATTGGATGAATTTCTAAGTTTTTTGAATATTTCTTCAAATGTCACCATGGAGGTCTGCCACAACATCATCTATAATTATACCTTAATGTACTCCATAAAAATACGTAATACTGAATGTTTTACCAAAATATGGCATCCCCACTAATCTGATTTTCTGATTATTCTTAAAGATGCTCAGAAAGCTTTAGTGCATTGCTCAATTGCATAAAAATTTTATAACTTTTCCAAGGTTTCAAAAAACGCTAGGCAGCCCCTACGCGGTTTGCTTGACGCCCAGCACCTAAGCGGGCGCCCAGAACCTCGAGTGCCTTGTGGTGCAAATTCTTAGTTTTTTTTTTATATTTGCTATCCAAATGCACATATATGCATATATTTGTGTCAAATTTTGTAATTTATTCCATTTGAAAATATCGCAAGTTCGCAACATACGTTTTTATATACAAACATATCACATGTCTCAGCCTCTCAGGTAATCAGATTGAGAATAAACTTATTCAAAATTTCAAACTATACATAACATTTAAAAGTCTAATAGGCTATTGTAAGGTCTCCAACTCTCATATTCTCCATATTCCATATCCATAAAATAAACCATAATAACATCCAAGTCTCCAACTCTCCAAGTCATCAACAAACTGACTTCCAAAACTATAAAAAAACCAGTAAACCACACAACGAAATAGTCCAAAATAAGTTTAAGATTGAGGGTTCTTGTTTTTTTTCACCTTGGGGTTCAAAAATAAACCCCAAAACTTCCTTTATACAAACTTGGGGGTCAAAATAACCCCCTTTGCTCTTTTGGGCGAAGTTATAAAAAAAAACAAAAAAAAAACGCCAACTTTCCTGGGCGCCTGCCCAAGACTGGACACCCACCTAAGCACCCGCCCAGGTACAGTCACCCATGTTGGGACGCCCAGGTCGAGGCACGAGGAAATTTTTTCTGGGCGCCGGGTGAACTGTTTTTGAAACATTGAACTTTTCTTTTGTCCTCTTTGTTTGTTTTATAAATTTTCTTAAGGATATTTGTGTAATTCTACTCTGCAGCACTTCTATTATAATCTAAATTTCAGCTTTTGGGGGAGTTGTAGTCAAAGTTTCCGAGTTGGCCCATGAACTACATGAGTTATGTGCTATTTATGTGTGTGGGGGTGGAAAATGTTCTGGTGTAGCCTAGCAGCCCTAGCTTGAACCAATACCCTCGTGGCCCCACCTCATTCACCACATTTTGAATGGATGAGGCACTCGATAGAAGTTCCAAAATCAATCTACTCCACTCCAAGAACAATACCCTAAAAAGAAAACTCGAAGCTCTAAGAATGCTTT